GGCGTAAGGGGGAAAGAATCAGGCCCAAGGCCAGAAGGGCTAAGGACTCCGGCAGCACTCAGAGTCAGCCCAGAGCCCCCAGTGGTCGGCCAGCTAGGCTTGGGCCCGTCCATACAGGAGAAGTGGGCTCAATCCCCAGCTCTTCCTTCCCTTCCCTGGGTGATTTTAGTATCCCTAGGTGTACGGAGGGGATAATGATGCTTCTTGGCCTGGCAGGGCTGGGTTCAGGCTAAATACTTGGCAGGGACTCAGATATCACTATGCTGGCGCCCACTGCGGGATCCAAATAGATCACACATGGCGCTTTTCATTCCTGGCTCTCCAGGTGCTTCCCAAAGGTGGGGAATGCGTCACGACCCCCAGTTTGCAGAGGGAGAACAAAAGAGTCACGCAGCTGGTGGGAGAGCCAGGAACAAAGCCCAGATCTAGTGTTAGTATTTAAGCCACAAGGGCACCTAACAGCCCCAGCCAGGAACCAGAGCCCCCATTGTGGTAAGCAGTGTACGGGTGTGCTGCAGGTCACCCTGGGCTACAGAGGTTCTGAACGGTAATAGCCACCGCTTACAGAAGGCTGGATCTTTAGCTCAAGTTGTCGCCGCTCAGGTTATAACCGTTGGGGTCCCAGGTCAAGCTCCAAGATGACGGCCATCAAACAGACACATATTGACAGTCCCTATCTGCTAGCCCGTGCTTGGGGTACGTGTCATCGTCACAGCCGGATAGCAAGATCACCCATTTTCCTCTCTGCAGACGCCTCCTGCCTCCCCGTGCCCACTTCAGAGACCCGCTCGGCAGCTCAGCCCTCTAGCACTAGCCTCTCTGCAATTCAGCTTATTCCCTGTCAACCTTTCTAGCCTTTCCACTGTATTGTACCCAGTGCCAGAGGATCTCACACCATGCGGGGCCCATGTTAGGTCTTCTCTGAAGTGTGGTTTTACCGCAACACAGCGCCCCCTACCTTCGCATTGGCGTACTGGTTCCACATTGACTCTGAGGGGACAGCTCCAAAAGCTCCATTGGCAACCCTGCTTCATGCGGTATCTGAAGTGTTCCCTGGTGTCTCCTACCTAGCTCCGTCCTGCTGAGCGTGTGAAATCTGACCAGCTCCCAGCGCCTGGCAGCACGGCTTCCACGTTGTACAGAAACAAAGCCATAGCAAAACATAATTAAGGCCTTTCTATCTAGCTGAGGTTTCTCTGTAGCACCTATCACCACAGCATCTAAGTGCTATCAGCTTTGGAGTACCCTGTATCTCTTGTGGCTTCAATAACTCCCATGAAACACCGCGGCAGAAATCGCTGGTAGTGTTCTCAAACACTGCGGCTTACAGCACTGATACGGCCGGCTTTGGCACATTACTGCAGGACGCTGCTGATCTGGTATCGCGGGGAACCTTATAGCAGGCTGCTTTTTGGTTGGGGTCATCACTGAGTCCCAGCCTGAAGCAATCGATCCAGCATTGACCAAGCGTAGCATAAATGAGTCAGCCAAAACAACCGGCCACAAGGGGATGCTGGATTCTGACCTTTAGCCACTCAGATGAACTGTCAAGATCCCCCCTGCTCACTGTTTGATGGCAATAAAGCCTAACGTGGAAGGAGAAAGCTCTCTCGGGCTTCAATCTGAGACAAACACAAACATCTTTAAAACCCCCATCCAGCCTTTTGGTTCATCTGGGCAAGAACGCATTAGGATCATTGCATGTCGAGAGAGCTGTTCGGACACGCGTGTGCTCCCTGCTCCTTGCACTGCTGTTCTTCCCGGGGGCTGGCACAAGAGAGGAAGGTCATTAGACAGCTGCAGGTGAATCCAGCCAAATTCAATTCACCACATGCTGCTGTAAAGCACCGTTCTGTTGACTGTGTAACACAGGGGATCCGGGCCTGTCCCAGCCACTTCACACCGTGCTCCCCAATAGGGGTGCCAAATCACATTGAATTCAGTGCTTTGGGCGGTCACACAAGGATTTGCCCAATAACACCACAACACACTATGTAGCAATACAAGCGGGGGCATTGCTCACATACTCGCTACTGACCAGCCCAAGAGCTCACTGAAGGCGAAAGGACGCAGGATTCCAGGGTGCTCTGTGCATTGTGGGGGGTATTCAGTGCCTAGCCCAATGGCATCCTACTACAATACTCTACTGCTGCCAATTCTGCAGCTGTTTCGGTTGCTTGCAAAGAAATACAGCCCTCATTACCAACTCCAAGCAACACCACACTTGACTGCGAAGTCGGCTGATGCCCGTTTGACTAACTGCCCCAAAGCCGGCACAGAATCTGTTCCCAGCACTGCCACAATAGTTCATAGGCCCCCTCTGCCGTCAGATCTGGGCTACCTCTGTGGAACCCCGCACTGAGCTGGGTCAGTAACCCCAGGGGTTCGTTCTCTGTTCACTTCAGGACACTAGCCATGCTGGTGGGGTTCCTTCTGAGCCTGTCCCCCGCCCCGGGCTCCCTCCCAAGCTTTTAGCCCCTGTGAACGAGGCTGGCAGGTGTGGCCAGTTTCCAGCTAGTGGCCCAGCCCCCACCCATCTCCCCTGATTGGGGCTGGAGTGGCCGGAGCTGATGAGGGCTTCCCCTGCAGCGCCCTGCCACAGCCCCCTCTAGTGGCTGCAGCAAGTAGGGATTTATGAGACCGATGATCAGTCGTTTGCAGGCTTCCAAGTTATTATCCTGATTTAACATTTTTCCTGCAGCCATGCCTACAGGTCACCCTGGCTGGGTCCCGTTGCGCTAGGCGCTGTACAGCCATGAAGTAAATAAGAGCTTCTAGTCTAAAATAACGTTAGCATTAGGAAGCAAAGCAGAGACACCACAGAAGCCTGGTGGAAGCCTTCATTGGGGATTTATGTTGGAAAACGCTTCTCCAGTCTCTGCCATCTCACTCCTGGGAGCCGAGGACCCAATCGATCCCTGGCATAGTGACATTGATTTCACACCCCATCACCCATTCCTTCCCCTTTGCAACAGCCCCCGCCCATTCATCTGCTGTGGTGAGGGGATCTATGGGGCATTTCTCTGTCTAGCCAAGAGATGGGGTCAGGAGAAAGAGGGAAGTTAATTCTGCATGTGAGAATGCATGTCTTTGACAGAGCACTGAGGAAGAGTACAGCAGCACTCTGGATGCATTTGTCTCATGGCCGTCTCCTCTCTGCATCTATAATTGCACTGTATGCCCTTGAATTTACATACAAGACTTAAAACACAATTAATTTTTGGCAGCCAGCAAAGCCCAAATGAGGCTAATCCCTTCAGATTTTGCATCGTTATCTCATTTTAGCATTATCTAGTTAAGCTTAAATGGGCAGGGGGGAAGTCAGTTGCACTTATCTGAAGAGATGTTGCTCCCACTGGAAAATATTCAGTGTTTAGAAGGCCTAGTGGCTGCAGAATGGAAGAGTGGAAAGCCATAGAGAGGAGAGAGGGGGCGCAGCGGAGTTTTCTGCACCATCCTTTCCCCTCTGGGGTTCTCCGTGCCCAATCGAATCGGATCGCAAGTGAAAATGAATGTGATGAGTCTGATCTTGTTTGTATTGATCAAACTCTGGTACCATTGTCAGTGTTTGATCAATAGAAACAACCCAGGATTAGAGCAGCTGGCGAGGTGGCAGGGTAAAATTGCCAGTGTTGTAAGTGCAGTGCTGTGTGGGGGCTCAGGACAGGGGGGCCGTGGGTCAGGATTGAGCTGTGCTAGGACAGCTGCAGTGGGGCTCAAGGCAGGCAGAGCAGGGGGGCTGTGGGTCAGCATAGCACTCAGCCTTTGCTCACTCATAGGAGTGAGGGTCTCCGTATATCTCTTCCAGGGCCGGCTCCAGGCACCAGCGCAGCAAGCAGGTGCTTGGGGCGGCCAACGGAAAGGGGCGGCACGTCCGGCTCTTCGGCGGCGGGTCCCTCAGTCCCTCTCGGAGGGAAGGACCAGCCGCCGAATTGCCGCTGAAGAATGAAGCAGCGGGGTAGAGCTGCCGCTGAAGTGCCGCCGATCGCGGCTTTT